GTGGTTTGATCCCTGGCTCCTCCTTAAGCAAGATACTGAACCCCAAATCTCTCCTGATGTTGCATTAGTGTATGTGTTTGTTAGTTTGTGTTTGTGATGGCCTTTGACATCTCTGGGTAAATGTGGTATGAAGTGTAAAAGCACTTTGAGAGGTTGGAAGACTAGAAAGGTGCTACACAAGTACAGTCCATTTACCATTTGTGAGGGTCTCTAAAATACTGACAATATGCAGTTTGAGTTGTCTATATCTTCATGGTCATGGATTATGCGTAAACTTTGGGCTACTACTGATGTATGATTTGTGCATAAGGGTGATTCATCACTCATTCACTTTAATTAAAATAAATAGCAGTATCTTTGCCATCACCATTGTAGCGTGGCTGCACAACATCATTAACTGAAACTTAAAAAATATCTATAAAATAAACGTTCCTGCACACCCAGTCACCATTATTCATTTCTCTGTTTTGCAGTCATTTGATTGGATACGATTATGTGACCGCTGTTAAAGTATAAAACCTAACACTGCTTTTAAGTTGTTGCAATAAAGTTGAGTGGAGAAAAAAAAAAACCCTATCAGGAAGTTATTGTGCCTTCACGTGATAAAGTGTTGGTTGTTTTTCTCAGAAACAGTGAAACCATGAACACCGAAGGAAGTGTGATTATGCAGCATTTTCTTTTGCACGGAAACGTGTCCGCTATTACAACACCCAGTCACAAAACCTTTTTTTTCACCTGTAGCTTACAACACCATCATCCTGCTCTTCAATGAATAAATAAATACATAAATAAATACGTTTTTCTCTGAGCTATAGCCTCGTCTTTCCAAAAGCTGTCCCGCACTGCAGATGACACAAACTTGTGCTTAAACATCAACGACTGCAGCTTCAGTTTACAGGTTTGAGAAACTGCACAAAAAACAAACAGGTATTTGTGAGTTTCGAGGGCAAGACGAGGTTAAAATGTGGGAAAGATGTTTCCTCCTAAGAGTACGACTGCTTCACCAGAGGAAATCCCCTCCAGAATTAGGGGAAATCTAAATTGAACATGAAACAAAACTACAAGGTGATTCAAAGGTCTGTGATAAATCCTTCTGTTGTCCATGAAACTGTCTCCTTCTGTTTAAACAAATATTACCTGGAACTGAAGTAACTAGTTCATTTGAATAAATTAACCACAAAGCAACATAAACACTAGTCTACTAGCCTAGTCTGGATTTTATAGAAATTCATCTGGACGTATAAAACCTCTTAAAACTTGAGGGAGTTGTCATCTGCTCAGATCACCGATACAAATAGAAATAAACTTTTGTCAATATGGACGTCGCACACATTGTTAGATCGGTTAGATTCGATTCAATCATTCAGTTCATTTTACAGAAACCACGAGCACCAAAATATCAAATGATTATATGTTATTAGATAGCCTTATACAAGTAATATTCATACTGGTTTAAATAGACATTTTGATAGTATTTCTCATCTTGGTTGAATTAAAGGCCTGTCCCATATAGAGGCAGGATGAGTTTTATAGTAACTCATAATAATCTCAGTTCTTCTGGACAAAATAAAACTCCCAATAAATTCTTGATACTTAACAAAAACGAGCTTGTTATCAGTGGTGTATTTGTGGCTAAAGAAGTAGGTATACTCTTAATTTATGCCCCAGTTTTTCTTTAAAAAGGATAAACGTCACATTTGTCTCGCCCCAAAATTGGACCACAGAACAGGTGCAGATTTTACAGTCAGTACTGGTCCACAGACGGGTGAGACAGCTACATAATCATACATTTTAACTGACAACTATGTCATGCCTTCACCATCCTAGGAAACACAAACTAAACTGGCAGAAAGCTACTGAATGATGGACATCAGAGGGTATTTAGAAGGGCATAACGCCACTGCTTGTTATAATTTCTCAAAGACAGATTACTTTACATTCATTTATAGGTTATTTTACATTAATTTACAGGTTACTTTACATTCATTTACAGGTTATTCTACATAAATGTAGGTAATTGGTTTCAGTGCTTACCCAGACTAGAGAGAAGAAAGCGCAGATGAAAGCAGAGATGTCACTTTCATAAACTCAGCTCAGCATCTAACGGAGGTGACAAGAAACACCCAAACTGATCTCTGACGAGCTGACAAGCTGGCAGGAAAGCCTTCGCCTCTCTGCATCACCCTGCTAACACCTCCTCAGTGCACACAGCTTGCAGCTTACAGTATGTGCACTCAAGAGCTGCATGCCATGAACACAGAGGCCCAATGGAAAATAAGCTATTACTAATATTTTGCACACACAGGCCTGACATGGGACGGCCTGTTTGTTATTGAGACTGTTTTCTTATAAAAGAGGCAGAAATCTCCTATAATTAGTCTGCCTCTCATGTGTTTCCGAATGCTCTAATTTGTGTCAGCTCATTTATCACAATCACAGGGACCCTATCGGCTCTCATTGTCCCCCCTCCGAACACTCATATCCTCAGATGAATGCCTCTTGTAAGGGCACTCAAAACACTCGTTTGTGTAATGTACACCGTGCCCAGCTGGAGCCCATTCTCTGGGCCACAAGTGGGTACGAGGGGGCTATTCTTTTCTGTGTATGGCATGTGATTATGTGCCTGCGAGCACCTGTTTCCTATGACAAACACAACTCATTTTCCCCATCTGTTTATATCAGCGCGTGTTGGAGGAAAGCAGCCTGAAATAAGCCAAAAAGGTTTGTTTATCCCCTCCTCACAACATTTGGCGGGATTGAAATGAGTCCATTAGTCTTCAGTCTCTGGTGGCATCTCATTTTTGGCTGGTTTCAACACACTGACACGCATTAGCGGCAAGTTTACAGCCCCCCCCACTCCTTTTCAATCTCACAGCAGAGAAGTCAAACAATCGCCGGGCAGGGAGAGGATTTTGTATTGGCATCTGGGCTTGAACGGCGAGCCCCGGTCGTCATGACAACTGCCACCATGGCTGCAGTATTTGTGGTCTCACACCTACAGTATTACACAAGAAGAAAAAAGAGACCTCCAGTCTTTATGGGGTCTTTCTCCAGTGTAATTATGGCACACATTTTCAACCGGTGATAGTGCAGAGTGAAAAATGAGCCACTCCGGGTCTTTTCATCTCCGCCAGGTGTCTGTGATGTTTTTGGTTACATAAGCAGCCCCTGCAGATCTGACCCCAGGTTTAACAGAGGGCAGAGCAGCCATACATCTTCCATAAGTGGAGATCACAGGGCTGCCTGAAGCGGGATCCTCGCTGCTGTCTTTCTGGATGGACAGAAGCAGGGAGGACGAGGGGGGTTGTTGGGTGGTGGAGAAGCCTGACAACAGGCTCTCTGTGCAGGCCTGTGGCAGAGGGTGGCCCTCTTCACTGCCGCCTTGTGAAACACCGTCTCTCAAACTCTCGCAAAAACCAGCTCAGGCAGATTTATGGGACCACCACCCCCCTTCCTCCTTCACCACCCTTCCTTACTCTAAAGACAAGGCGAGGCCCCCCCACTCGTCCTCAGTGTCTCCCTCTTTGTGCCCCGTGACCTTGTGCAGCCTTGTGGCCGGGCAGCAGCAGAGAGGAATGCACAAAACACACAAAACGGAAGAGTGAGAAAATATGAGTCTGACACGCTGTCGGGGTCGCAATGTTTTTTCTGCCATTTGTGCCATAAACTGAGGAGTTATGTCTTAAACTTACAGCCACTCACATTGTCTTGGTTTTATTTGTTTTCAGATATATATACAGGTCTCTCAGATTTCTGCCGCCTCCCCAGAACAACGGAGGTGAATGGAAACAAAATTACATTTAGTAATCCAGCAGCAACATCTTTTTTAAGTTTTGAAGCCTCGAGTTCAGCATTAAGGCACCACCAAAATACAACTTCATTGATAATCAAATTTTAAGTTTAAAGAGGATAAAGGAGGACACAAGGCATGACATAGACGTCCAATAAAAGAGAAACAATACATACAGTATATACAAATATTATTTGGGTCTTTGTTGCCCTTTTATAAAGGTTAATATAATTTATAAATTTACTTTGGTTTTCTATTGGACCATTTTTATGTATATGGATATTTGCCAGTTGGATTAAGAATTTAGGAGTTATTTGCAAATGGAAATACTGCGTTTTGCAACCAGCGGAGGTCACGTACTATGAGTTGAGCTGCTCTCATTGGCTGCTCAGTTTCGACTCGTCCGTAGCAGGAAACAATGGCGGCTCGCCTGGTCACACATAATCTCATATTACAGCTAAACAGTACACTAAAATATGTTTGTGAAACGATTTTAAGTGAGAC